CCGTGTATGACCTTTATTGAATTCTTTAATCCATTACATCCGTGTTAATTTTATTTTTTTATTTTTATATTTTTATTTTTGTATTATTTGACGTTCGGTGATAATGCAAGTCATATATCAGGGTGAATCAAAAGTTTCGTACATTTATTGTGTGTTTGTTTAAAATAAAAGAATGCAATTTTTTTAATAAATTGTTTATGTATCCGGTTAAAATATTATACCTGAAATTAAACAATTTTGTTGTTTGTTAATATTTGAAGATAAGTACAAAATTTGTGACTACTGTATGCAGTAACATTTACACTTACTGTATATATACAAGTATATATCGTATAATTGCATCTATTTTCCAATTTGGTAATAAAAACATCAATTTCTCAAGTGCTCGTGAGTATATATATGTCTGCTACTGTATATATCGATAAGAAGATTAAAATTATGCAATGCAACTTTGGATGTAAAATCAAAGCGATAGATTTATTATTTATATAAATATTTTTCTTATAGGTTTAGATTTATCTTGTTAATCAATGAGATATTTTCTCTCAATAACCTTGAAAAAAATAATATTATATATATTTATTTAATGAATTTATTATTAATTTATTCATATTATATCTCTTACGATTCTTTTCAAGTAATTCATTCATTGAAAAATAATTATAATTCATATATTGTATGTACTATTATATCGTAAAAATGATAAATACAGAGATCTGTTTTTCTCTTTGTTGGTACTTGAATTAACGTCTTCTTCATTTACCGACAGAACTTTTACTTATCGACATTTCTGTCGATAAAAAAGAAAACTCAGTTGGTATCTTGTCGTCGTTAAGTAAAATTTCTGTATTACCGACAAAGTTCCATTGTTCGTCAAGTACTTCACGCATGTGACGGTAGAAGGCGTTGCAAACCAAACATGGCGGCCCATCAATTGTAAAAAACATTTATGGAAGCACGCTCAGTGACAAAACACGTGTACTGTTTAATATAAATATTGTCTTTTTTATAATATAAAAAATAGTTAAAAAAGATAAAAATGTTGCGCAGACAAGCACGACTTCGAAGGGAGTATCTTTATAGAAAATCCATTCAAGATAAATTAAAAAACATTCAAGAAAAAAAAGATAAGATAAAACGTAGTTTGAATGAAAATATTCCAATACATCCGAATTTGAGAAAAAATGCATTATCGTTGCAACAAAAGTTAGAATGGGAAGATTTGGGGCCACAATTAGCAGCAACTATGGGTACAGATGGAGGAGCAACTGGACTTTCCAACGAGGATGATGAATATCGTTGGGCAGGAGTTGAAAATCCAAAAATTGTAATCACTACTTCTCGAGATCCTAGTTCAAGGCTTAAAATGTTTGTAAAAGAATTACGTTTGATTCTGCCCAACTCTCAAAGAATGAATCGTGGTAACTACGAAATGAAGCAATTAATAAATGCATGCAGTTCAAACGATGTAACAGATTTTGTTATCGTCCATGAACACAGAGGCATTCCCGATACTCTTGTAATATGTCATTTACCTTATGGACCGACTGCATCATTTACCATATCAGATGTCATAATGCGACACGACATACCAAACCTAGGAACTATGTCGGAAGAGTATCCGCACTTGATTTTCCATAACTTTAAAACTAAGTTAGGTAATAGGATTGTAAGCATTCTCAAATATTTATTCCCGGTTCCAAAAGAAGATAGCAAAAGAATCATTACTTTTGCTAATCATGATGACTATATATGCTTCCGTCATCATACTTATAAAAAAGTCAATGGAAAAGATGTCGAATTAAAAGAAGTTGGACCAAGGTTCCAATTAAAATTATATCAGATCAAATTAGGAACGTTAGATAATGCATCCGCTGCTGATACGGAGTGGGCATTGAGACCTTATATGAATACAACGCATAAAAGAAGATTTTTATCTGATGACGATGGTTGGCAACAAGAAGATGAATTTTAATTGTTATATATTTATATAAAATACAAAATATTAGGGAAAACAGAAATTTACTGTACATATTATGCATTTTTAATAAAGAAAAAAAAAACGGAAGAAACCATTGTATTCTATTTTAAATAGTCATCGTTAATAATTTGTAAATATAGATGTAACAATTTTGTAATATTAATCTAACAAAGAGGAATGTACGATAGAATGAGATTCAAATAACGCGCCAAACCGAAACGCGATATGACATGCGCGTAGTTTTCTTCGCACTTGTTTTTAAAAACAAGCATTAGTAAATAATCTTGCTCGTATATAACAGGATTAATCGTAAAAATAGTTGAAAAATTTAATCTTTAATATAATATTAAGTTTGATTATAATTAACGCGATGCAAAGGAATATTCGAAACCCCGCGAAATCGAAGGAGTCGTCGTGGCGCAAGAAGCATTCGAAGATTTCCGATCGAAAGGCAGGTGCAATGGATGTGTTCGTGTCACCAAAACGACAGAAGAGTGACGGTGAGAGATATTAATGTATTATATTCAAAATCATTAAGTAGATCAAATGCTTGTTCGCAGATATTGCTTGCAGTATTTAGCACGATATACGTGCATGGTATATTAATTAAGCTACTTTTTTCTTGCAATATTTATCGAAACTCGTATTTTGGTTAGTAGCGCTTCTGTATGCAACGGAATGTAAACAAACTAAAGCGGTGTATGGTCATTTCGTGTTTACGTATTTATCATATTTTACATCAAATATGATAAATAATAATGAATTAGAAATGAAATTAAAGATGCATTTATAGAATACAAATAACATCGATAGTACAGATATATATATATATATATATATGTGTGTGTGTGTGTGTATGTACATATATTAATCATTATTTTTATTAAAAACTGAAGAAAAAATGAATAACAAATTTATATTCAAATTTACTTATTTTCTATGTTTACACGCGGTTTTTTCCACTTAGCATCTATATTACAAACCAGGCATAAGATATGCGATATTGTCAAGCATTTGCGATAATGTTTCTGGTTGGGCTCCATTGATTTCTGATACTTGTTGTGTAAGACAAGTCAAAGGACCCAGTGCACAGAGTAACGAGTCTAATAATACAGACAAACTACCCGAAACTGCTATTTGACCATCATGTTCTTTTAAGCGTTCACCGATAATGGTTAAACTTTCGCCAAGTAGTTTAAGATGTGCCGCGACATCAATCGGTTGCGTTCCAATCACTTTATACATTCCTGTACCAATTATTGGCTCGTTAACCAAATCTTTCCCAGCTTTATTCGTTGGAGGTGACATAGGCACACTTCCTATAACAGAGGGTACTCCTAACTGGAGAGTTTTTTTCGAAGAAATTGGTTTACTTTCTTTTCCATTACCTGTAATAGAAAACAAATATAAATAGATTAACAAATTATATATATATATATATTATTATATTATTATATGTGTATTATATTAATAAACACTATTTTATTATATACATGAAAAAAATATTCATAGCTTGATATATATCTATAAAATAATTCAACTCTATGCTACAAATAAGATCCGATTCAACAATTCTTTAACTAATGCACGTGCAAATAAAGCGTATTAAGATGAGTTGTCTAGCATATAAATTTAACAACTTCATTAACACCAATGTTCATTAACAATGATTCATTTGGAAATATCAATCGACCCACCAATTTTATTAATGAACTTTTTTCGCGAAGCAGGCGGTGGCATTTTCCAAACTGACTCATCTTTATTGGTAGAAGACATAGAATGTGGCTTTGCTGCTAAACGTTTGGCGCGTCTACGCCAATTATATTTCTCCAGGTTTGGGACCGTCGCCCAAAGTTCACCTAATCGTTTAGAAATTGCAGCGAAATCTATAAAAAGCAATAATCAATAAAATAATAATACTCTAATAAAAAAGGTGCTTTGTATGCTATGCTTATAACGAAGAAGGAAACTAAGAAAAAAAGCATATGCGTACCCATGTAAGGACATTGTTCCAATAATTCCTGCCTAATTTCTTTAGCCCACAACATATAAGCGGTAAATCTTGTTTTCTGTAAAAATGACGAATTTAAACGTGACTTATCTAACAACCTCCATTTTTATTTTTACATACCCCTTTGTCCTTACGTTGGGCTTTCATTCTACCTATTATTTTGCCATCCTTAATAATTAATTTTTTTTTACATTTTTCAAGCATATACAAACTATTCGCTTGAGAAGGTGTTTCCTGACCTGGTGGCTCTAACTTCCTAAATCCAGTTTCTCTATCATCGATCATCAAAGGATCTACATCGTCGTCGCTTCCAGAATCAATGCTGTAGCGATCTTCTTCATTCAACCCATTGGGATCATCAGAATCCGATGCAGACGATTGACCCTCATTATCGGATACCGTCTCCTGTTTAATTCTTTGCTGTCCTGAATGGGATCCTGAATTCTTTCTTTGTCGTGTGGTATTAGTTTGCTGAACTTGGCTTGGAGATATATGATGTGAAGATTCATAACGTTCCAACAATTGTGTCGCTTGTAATTGCGCTTTTTGTCGTTTATATTTATTATCCGAAAAGTCATCGGGTGATTCAAAATCGACAAGCTTTGAAGATTTCTTTCTTACTCGGCCACTTCGGGATATCCCTGTGACCTCTAGATCTGAAATATAAAGCAGACTGCACCTTGCCAAGAAAAGAAAAGAGTCCAAAATAATTTTATAGCATCTATCAAAACTACTTCTCTATGACGAATGAATTACGTTCACAACTATTACTACGTTGGAAATAATAAAAATACTAAATACTAAGGGTGTGAAGGTAATTCGTTGCATTATACATTATATATTTTTGGTTTATGTTAATAAGAAATATGAATCATTCTAATACTAAAATTAGATGTAAAAAATTACATCAAATGCAATAATCTATTTTGAGCTATAATCAATGAATGTTAAAGCTATGCTACGGAAAAAGTTTCATGTATATATATATATATATATATAAATCTCTATTATAAATAACTGTACAAAAGAAAAATATTGGAAGCCTAATTAATATGATGTAACAGGTGGACAAATGCAAAACAAATGTTTGTCTCCATACGTGTCATCTATTCGACCAATGCTTGGCCAAATTTTATTGCTCTTTACGAATTTCTAAAATACAAAAGTTAAAATATATTAACTTTTTATTAGTTACAATCTTTAAAATTTACTTAAAAGTACTAATATACTTACAGCAGGAAAAGCAGCTGTTTCTCGAGAATATGGCAAATTCCAGTCTTTCGCTAAAACTTGTAATTCTGTATGAGGTGCATTTTTTAGAGGATTTTTTTCTATGTCGTATTTGCCAATTTCAATATTATTAATTTCACTTTTAATAGCTGCAAAAATGTACATATTTAAATGATTGTAATATTCTTAACATTATATTAATAATAATTATATATATATGTTATGTAGCCAATGTATTACTGAAGGCATTGTATACATTACTCACATAACTTACTTCACTTTTTATAGCACATTTTATAAATAAACCAAAACTTATTAATGACCATGTGTACATAGTTTTAAAGTTTTATGGTTTGTTTTATTTACAGGAGCTTAAGATCACTTTGCTCTGTGTTCTAAACACATCACACCAAAACGCATATTATAGATTAACCAAGCAATGTATACAATCCCTGTAGTAATACATTGACGGTAACATATATAAACTTACAAATGAGAGCATCACAGAATTTATCTAATTCAGCTTTGTCTTCCGATTCGGTTGGTTCTATCATTAATGTTCCTGCTACAGGCCAACTCATGGTGGGAGCATGAAAGCCATAATCCATTAATCTTTTAGCTATGTCTACTGCTTCAATATTTGCAGTCTTTTTAAAGTCTCTTACATCCAAGATAAATTCATGAGCAACTAATCCTGTTTTACCTTTATACAGTGTTTTGTAATGCTTTTCTAATCTCTTACTCATATAATTTGCATTAAGAATAGCTACTTGCGTTGCTTTACGTAAACCTTTTGGTCCCATCATTTTGATATAAGCCCATGAGATTGGTAATATAGCGGACGAACCGAAAGGAGCTGCTGATACAGCACCAGATTCTCTTAAATTTTGTAAATCGTTAATCGTTGAATTGATCACTGGATGATTTGGAAGAAAGGATGCAAGATGTTTCTTTCTGTAATTATATATATAATTATAATAAATTAATTTTAACAAAGATAGGTCAAAATAATAAAACAAATAATGAATTACTTACACACCAATGGGTCCCATACCAGGACCACCACCACCGTGAGGTATACAAAATGTTTTATGTAAATTTAGATGCGATACATCGCTGCCATAATCTCCAGGCCGACATAAACCAACTTGAGCATTCATATTTGCGCCATCTAAATATACTTGACCACCAGCATCGTGAACTAGTGTACATATATCTCCAATAGTATCTTCAAATACTCCATTCGTTGATGGATACGTTATCATTAAACACGATAAACTTTCTTGATATTGTTTAATCATTTCTTTCAAATGCACAATATCAATAGAACCATCCCTGCATACAAATATAGGTTTAACTTGCATGCCAGCCATTTGTGCTGAAGCTGGATTTGTTCCATGAGCAGACACAGGAATTAAACAAACTCGTCTATGTTTATGCCCTTTCGATTCGTGATAACACTGTATAGCTCTTAAACCTGCGTATTCGCCCTGAGCCCCACTATTCGGTTGAAAACTAATATTATCGTATCCTGTAATAGCACAAAGATCTTTTTCTAATTCTGTAAATAATTCTTGATATCCTTGTGCTTGCTCTATTGGTGCAAAAGGATGTATATCTGTGAATCCTCGTAAGCTACATGGCATCATTTCAGTCGTTGAATTCAGTTTCATTGTACATGAACCCTGTTAGACAATTTAGAATGATTATACGTAATAATTGCATACATATAATTAAGTATAATCACTATATATACAATATTATTTCATTTAAAAATAATATACTTACTAAAGGAATCATACTGTGAACAAGAGATACATCCTTATTTTCTAAATATTTCATATATCTTACTATTCTGGTTTCAGAATGATGGCTTTTAAATACAGGATGTTGTAAATATAAAGAAGTACGTTTAAAAGGTGAATCCTCTAAGGATCGATCATATAAAGAATTAGATTTAATTATTTCTTCTACTGTCACGTTTGCAGAAAAAATGTTGAGTAGATCATTTACATCTTGTATCGTAGTTGTCTCATCGAGAGATATACCAACCGAATTATCTGAAAAATATCTACAAAAATACATTTGTCTATAATACTTTTAAAAAAATTACCTATTAAATATCAAAACACACATTAAACGACAAAAATGTATACCTTAAATTAATTTCAGCTTTAACAGCATTGTCTTTTAAAATATTTAATGGAATATTCGGTAATACCTGTATGGTATCAAAAAAATACTCATTATTTATTTTATGCCCGGTAGATTGTAAACCTTTAGCAAGAGCTAAAGTTAAATGATGTACTCTCGAAGCAATATTTTTAATTCCCTCAGGACCATGATACACTGCATACATTGCAGACATATTTGCTAATAATGCTTGAGCAGTACAAATATTACTAGTCGCTCTATCTCGTTTGATGTGTTGCTCACGCGTTTGAAGAGTCAAACGGTATGCATCTTTTCCATTACAATCTCTCGTAACTCCGATCATTCTACCAGGCATTAAACGTACATATTTTTTTTTGCACGCAAAAAATCCTGCATGAGGACCTCCGTATCCAAGCGGCACGCCAAATCTTTGACTCGTTCCAACGCATACGTCTACAGAAAATTCATTCGGTGGATTAATCAAAGCTAATGCCAATAAATCACTGGCAGCGCAAACAAGGGTCTGAAAATATATAATAATAATATTTAATAATGCTGCATATAATAAATATGTATATATATTATTATATATAATATTTTTTAAAGATTTTTTTAGGTTTCAAAAAATTCATTTGATACACGTACTCCATCGGCTTGTGCTTTTTGTGTAAGTTCAGTGAAATCGTAAATGGATCCAGTGGTATCAGGATATTGCAGAAGAATACCAGATATATCCTTTTTGCTAGTATCAACATTAAAAATGTTTCCAATTTCTAGATCGAGACCAAGGGAAGTAGCACGAGTGGCAATAACGCCAATCGTTTGAGGATGTACTTTATCAGATACGAATAATTTATTCCTTTTATTTTGCCTGTAGGCAAGACCTAAAGCTTCCGCTGCAGCAGTACCTTCATCCAAAAGAGATGCATTTGCCATTTCCATTCCGGTTAAATCGCATATCATAGTTTGATAATTTAATAAACCTTCCAGTCTGCCCTGAGCAATTTCTGGCTGATAAGGTGTGTATTGTGTGGTCCTATAATAAAATATAACAATTTTATTTGTTTTATCGTAAACATATATCATTGTTGTATTGTTTAAATGAAAATTCATTTACCATCCAGGGTTCTCAAAAATATTTCTCATTATAGTATGAGGTACGCAACAATTGTGATAGCCCATACCGATATAAGAACGATATACTTTATTTTTTTCCGAAATTTTCGTAATTCTTTTAATTAATTCATATTCAGCTGTAACAAATATACAGTATAATATATATTTTATATTAGTATTACAATATCTGATTAAGAATATGAAGAATTAATAAAAATCAACAATAAAAATATGTGACATTAAAATGGATCACGTTTTAAATGTAATATTATGTTGAAAGAATCACGTGAACGTTAACTTAAATCACGAGATTGACCTATGACTTTAGATAAGCAGCATATGAGAGATATAAAAAAAAGAAACCGATAAATTCCATTCGAATAATTATATATGTTTTACGTATACTATATAAAATGTATTATAAAAATATTCATTTATAAAACAATATATACAATTTGCACATGCAAATAATATAATCACAATAAAAATATACTTTTATAAATGATGCTATCAACAAAAATAGTATTTCTTAAATTACGTTAATATAAATGCATAAATATTATCGCATCGTAGTAGTTATCACAATAGTCTCGTGAATTGTCACGTTTTATACAATTTTTTTTGCAGAAGATAATGTACATGCAGAGCAATACGAGTGACAGAACAACAAAAAATTACTCACTAATTGGTTGTTCGATATTCAAATCTCCATTATGAAGAATATGGTTTGGTATAGCAGTTTTTGTTAATTCTTCTAGATTCTAAAATATAATATATGTTTAAACTAGTTTTTCAAAGATTATAATATACAGAAATGAAGAGGTAATCTTACCGTGAAACCAATGGTTTGCAACATTTTTGTCAGTTCGTATTTTCTTGGTCCGATATGTCTATTTTGAAACTCATCGTTTTGAGGAAGTAATTTTTTAATATTTGTTGTTGTACTATTGTTATATTTATGTATATACAATGATATTTTATTATGTTTATGCAGTTGTTTTGAACACTGCATTACTCTCAAAATACAATACATTTTAATATTTAAGAAAAAAACTAATATTACTGTACTTTGTTCCTGGTTGTTTTGCTATTATTATTCTTAAGTATCAGTCTTATTAACAATACCAAATGGTATGAAAGCACTAAGAAGAATCACTACAGTAAAGAGAATTTATACTGTGTAAACTGGTATCAAATGATGTCACAATCATTGATTACAACATGAACTGTTTGTAACTCTGAGTTATAAATCATTTACAATAATATTATTTTTATAATAATGTGTATTTATCTTTTAGATGAAACATAAACAAGATTTTTTTTAATATTAAAACTTCTTTTAAATTTTAACGTGCGTTAAAATCCAATGCATGTTTATTACATTATAGGAAAACATTGAAATAAAAACATATTTATAACTTGTTAACTTACGTCAGTGCGTGAACTCGTTTAATTAAATAATTAATATTTAGAAAAATAAATACAAATTTATTCTTTAATTTTGTCTATGATTACAGATACAATTGTCATATATTCCTACTTTACGACTCAGAGAAATACTATAAAATTAAAATTAATTTATTATAGCGCGATAATACTTAAATGTAAGAAAATGGAATTAAGATTAGGGATATAATGAACGTAATAAATAAAAAATATATAAATGTAAGATTTACTTCATAAATTTATCTTTATTTTGTGTTAGGATCTTAGCAGATGATTTTGCATCCAAAAATAATGTGCCTACTTCCTCTACATCTTCCCTTTTAATAATTGTACGCTCATTAATTTTAGCCGTTAATGCTGCTGGAGTTAAAAGCTGCACCACGTATCGTAGGGTTGTTCTTGTCCCCAACTCGCTAAGAGTAGTTAACGCGTCGTCCTCTATTTGTAATCCTTCGGTAGTTGCTCGTAATTTGACAATTTCTTCAATTTCTTCTCTTGAATAAGGTAACGTGCGTATAATAAGCAATCGATCCAATAAATCTAGAGGTATTCCATGGGGAGATATTATATCTTCGGTTCCTCTAATCTCACAACGACCACGATTTGTTGCAAATATAACAATAGGTGCTATAGCACTTTCTAAGGCACGGTGAAGATAAGTAAATGTTTCAATATCTAACATATGCACTTCATCTATAAATAATACTCCCGGTACTAATTCAGCAATTCCTTGATCAATAAATCTGTTTACTACTTTATTTATTTCTTTTCGCAGTTTATCTAAAAATTGAACAAACGTTGCATTAATAAAAATAATGTTATGCATAAAACAAATTACTTTAACTTAAGGTATCGGTAAAGAAAATAATTTTACCTGTAATCTCTGTTTTCTTTGGTTTCATAAGCTGTCCCATCATCGACATTATATCTTGTCCTCCCTGTGGCTTAGAATTTGCAACATCTAAATCGTGTAAAGTTACATCTTGAATGACTTCTTTCTTTTTATGCACATCTCCTTTCGGCAATGGAACATATTCTTCGGCTTCCAAATCAAATTCAGTCGCAAAATTATCGCTTCTCCCTTGTCTCTTTACAGCACCACTATTAACTTCGATGTAAATTACATCTCCAGTTTCTACTTTCTCCTTTAATAGAGATTCATATATGGAAGGATCAAGTTTTAATTGTTTAGTTCCCTTAGCTGTTTTCAAACCGATAACAACATGAGATACTGTTTTCCCATAACCACCCATAGGATTTTCGGTTTCTATAGGTGTTAATTCAGTAACTTCCCCTTCGTATACTTCTTTAGTCTCTTTAATTCTTAAACCAATAGCTCTTCGAAAATTTTCCATTAGTACTTCTGTCTTTTTAATCTCTGAACTATAAACTTCAGATCCTACCATTGGGCAAAATGGTACTTTGTTACCAAGCTCTTGAGCAATAGCCAAAGCAATTGCAGTTTTACCGGTACCAGGAGGACCCGCTAACAAAACTGCACGACCAGCCATTTTTTTGGATTTAATCATATCAACTACAATTCCAGCTGCCTGTATAAAGAAAAAATATATATATAAATTTATTTAGATTGTCAAAGAGCATGTTTATAACAATGAAGAAAAACACTATATTAAAATATAAGATAAAAAAACAATATTAATTATAAAAAGATCGTAGTTATTTTATAATATAATTTAAAATAGTATTACTTATAAAAATGATAATTATATATATATATAATATGAATATTTGTAAAAAATGTTAACCTCACGAGCCAATTCTTGGCCGACAAGACCAGCAGCAGATTGAATTGCTATACCATTTTCGTCAAGACCTAAACCTTTAATATGCGTATGGGCAGAAATTCTCTGTGTTTTTGCAGTACTTTTAACTTCTTCGATCTTCATAATGCAATAACTTTAATATATCAGAATAATAAATATTAAACAAAGTCACTCGTGTGTTTGTACCAGTCTGTACTAACTGCGTTTAATATCACCTATAGTGATGCAGCAAAGCTATATGCACGTTTGATCGTTAGCCTAACTTTTTATCAGGGTTTTTATATCTTATTAAAAAATAATAGTTACTATGGCAATATGCAAATAATGCATAAATATTATAAATAAAAATATTAGTCTGATGTCAGAATTTAAAATACAATTATTTTATTACTATTATATATTTTTTATTTTATATCTTGTTATTTGTAATATAGATGACGCTTTTATTTGACTTCTTTACACATAGATGGCTTAAAGAATGATATCTTACTCGCTAGTGCACAAAATCAAGTATTCTAGTATATATACTCGGAAAGGTTTAGTTGCTCTCGGGGTCCGATGCACCTGGGAAAAATTGCCTATTGCCTTTCGCCTGTTTTCCGATCGCCGCATTATATACATTAAGTTTGGTGAGGCCCCAAATCCTTTGCCCTTGGTGCGACTTTGACCCTTTTGCTTCCTGATATAACATTTTTTTTTTTTTTACATTTCGAATTTATCAGATTTTTTTCTTTCTATAATTTAATTCAAAGATGATACGATTAAATAATTTATTTTGGAAAGGGTTAATTATTTTTGGAACTATAAAACACCCTTGTAAACTTTGTAACGTTTTTTATTTATAGAAAATTACACTTTATACATAGGCTTTCTCTCTTCTATTGCAAGTTCCGAGGTAACATTTTGTATATCTTTCATCTAAAAATGATATTAATACATATATATATATATATATATATATAAATAGTTACTTTTTAAAAATATATAATATATAAATCGCATTATAAGTTAAACAATAAGCAGCACCTTGACATGAGCATACAAAATAATTCCAGTCAATGTCAAAGTTATTCCGATTACTTGATTCATCGCTAAAGTTTCATGAAATACAATAGCTCCACCCAAAAGTAAAAGACAGAATTTGGAATGTCCCACCATATTATATCTAAGTTTCAAATGAAGGTGTATATAATATTATACTAAGAATTTGTTGTTACAATTAAACTAATACAAAGGATACGTTAGAGGCGAGGTTTGTCCTATTATCCAATAAGATGTTAGATTTACAAAAAATGCAACTATGCCAGAGGATACAACCATGAACTGAAATGAAAAAATAGCCAATGAAATATTCATTATTATAATAAGTATTTATCTATAATATTAATAAGCCTATACTATGTCCCAAAATGTCCAATTGTAACTGAGGGTCTGCCCAACCGGTTCCAACAATGGTACAACAATAAGCAGCATAATTGCGGATAAGGGAGCTTGATAATATAACAACTGCATAGGATCCATTTGAAACTCTTTTTGTTTTCTGTTAATTAACTAAAACAGAAATTGACAGAGGTTTATAACTAGATAAACTAGCATGTTTTAAATATCAAGTATTATAGATGCAATTACATTTACTTGAAACGAATGACTAAAATCAAACCAACATTCTTTTTGGTCTAGCGCATTTAATAGTTATTTAAAAACACACAGCTGGAATAATGATTTGTTTCAAATAAACAAATAAATAATTAAAAAAAAAAAAAAAAGGAACAGATGTGTTATTGTTAAGTACTTTTAATAGGTATATTCTTCCAACTGTGATTAAAGTTCCATCCAGTAAAGATATTGATTCTATTAACTTTAATCAAATCTTTCTTGCTCGCTATATTTATCTAAGACTACAAATTTTAATAAAAATATATCGTACAACTTGATATAAAGATGTCACAAATACTCCCAACGTCGCATAAACTGTTCCAATGATATTAAATTGTATGTCGTAATAAAAATTCATTATGACACCAATAATGATTGGAATTAATGTCAATTTAACAAGAATGCTGAAGTGCTTTTTATAAAACAATATTTGCATGAAAATAATGCAAGGAGTTGTTAGCATTTTAGCCACTTGATACGTTCCAACTGTATTATGAGCGAGACTTAAATTTGTTAATACAACAAATCCACAAAATGTAAGGGCAATAAATAACATCTCTCTAATATCGATATCCTTAACGCAAAAGACATACATTCTCTGACAAATGAGTAAACCGATAAAGGTAATAATAAAGTGTATCATAGATAATGTAATATTAGGAAATTTAGTATGGATATATAACCACTTATTTAGTAATACAATAACAATGGAAAAGAAAATATTTAATGTCAAATAAAATGCAGTGACAGCTTTTTTATTCATTTTGACACACCACGTATTATACTTTTAAACACAATGTCACAATATAAAAATCAATTAAATTCTTAATATTCTTAAATTATATCTTAAATGAATTGAATATGCCGGTAACATTTTTAATTGAAATCAATCTTATCTGCATGCGGATACTGTCAAGCACAAATCATGTGCAATATTTTAACTTGATTAAAATTGAAATTCAATTGATAGAAACACCCCCTTGTGTTATTCTTAGAAAACTTTTATTTATATATAATACAAAAGCAAATATACATGTATCCAAAAATATGAGACATTTCAAATATTATAAATTTGTATTTAATTTCTGTACACACAACATTTTTTAAAATTTTTTATTAAAACTCATATTTAATATAAATTATACATTTACTTATAGCGCATTTACATGTATGTATTTACTTGATCATTCAAATATGATTGGTCGAAAAAATAACCAATCTCATTTCGTTTTAAGATTCAAAAGCTATGTTCATGTATCAGTCATATAGGTTACCGGAAAATATCCGCGTTCGATACCCGCTAAAATTTGTCTGCGAATGTTGTGATGTGTATTAAAAGATAAAGATTTTTATTGTGTGTTTCAAATTAAAATATGGTAGAATATTCTTTAGGATATCGAGAGGTTGTTCCAGATCAGACTTTACATACGAAATGGAAGGAAATTATTTTAAGTACGGGTAAGTGTGCATAACCTTAAACAATAGCTCATATCAAAGACATGTATATTTATACAAAATTCAATGTAAAAATTGACACAAACATCAAAACTACCACCTCACATATTTAATACTTTTATTTGTACACGATTATTGTATATTATAAATGATTGTTTGAAAAATTTTTCAACGAGTTTACTTAACCACAATTTTTCATGCCTACCCGGCATCATTTTATTTGACATGTTTCTTGAATGAAATAATACAAGTTATATTGTTTTTTTAGGTGGAAGTCAAAGCACTTTACAAGATATAAAAGTACCAGAAAGAGCTGGCGGTTATTGTTATAAAAATGACTCCAAATATTTCACACGTAATCGTTTTATTTATTGGAGAATTTCCCACGATATACTTGAATTAGTCGAACAGAGTTTAGATGTCAATCTTGTTAAAAATAGAGTGAGATATAAATTTACAGGCACTCCAATCTTGGACGGTATTTCTATCCACGAAACAATTAATTCTGTTATTATATTGGTAGTAACGGTTTCCAGTGTATATAAACTTTCATTCTCGCATCCAGATAAAATTCATAAACAGGTACAAATTTACAATTCTACAAGTTTAAGAATCAATGGCTTATATTTTTGATTTTATTTGTCATTTATAATTGATAACAAATTTTTGTTTCTAGGAGCAAGAACATCACGCAGATGTTAACGTTCAATCAATATTTAGCGAAGCCAGTGCACAAAGTGCACGCGAGTCTAATACATTTCATCAAATCACTAGTGCTGGAAATACAAGTAAACAAATATTTTTATTATTGAAGCTTAAGGTATCGTTCTCTTTAATAAATATACATTTTTATTTATTTTCACAGATGCTCCAGTGTCACATGCAGCAGCATCATGGTTAACGTTACAAGATGAAGCATTTTTTGCTCTTGCTTACAATTCAGGAACGATATTACTTGTAAGACTAGACACGGTTACAGGTCTTGTACATACATATGATTTAAAACAAGATTCCATAGTGCCAAGATTTCTAAGCGGTATAGCTACCGCTTTCAGAGGTCGTAATTCTGAAGCTAATGTTGCTATTTCACTCGTTATACATACTTATGGAAATGATACATATTTATTTGCTTTATGTCGAGACGGCAATATACGCATGTGGTCTTGTAACAAAAATCAATGTATAGCAGTAACTAATACTGCGATTGATAATAATATTGCTTCTCAAGGAATTCAAGGCCACGTGTTAAGAAAAAGTTTGAATTCTAATAACGAATTGTATTTAGGAACATTTTTGAAGTTTGGAACAAGTTGTGAATTTAGTATTCTTAAGCCTGTCCAGGAAAATGGTGTATTTAAATTTATCAGGCTATGCACTCTGTTTGCACCAGATGTATGTATTAAATATTGTCAATATTTCTTTATTTTATCATTAATTCATAATTAAAATAATTAATATATATATATTTTTTTATATTTACAGCAACACCTGGTAGACTTTTCATTTACCAATACACATTTATGGGCTGTATGGAGAACAAAAGACATGGATAGCGTTGCAGTAACTCATGCCCATTTACCAACAAATGGAAAACATATCAATTCTGAATGGGAAACAGTTATTTTAGAACAACCACCAGATAGAGATTATATACTAAGCGATCCTGGTACAGATCCTAGACAAGCTTACATTAGCTACATCTTCCATCCAGGACAATTTTCTTTAACGGATATTACCAAAGCGCTTAGTATTTATAGAAAATCAAATTTCATTGCTGATATAAGATTAACACCGGCAGTGTTAAAAGAACGTGTTTGTGTGGCAGTAGAAGCAGAAATACAAGCAGAAGTTATGGATTACGAATTGACGGATGAAGACTATTTAGAAATTGCTAATCGTTGTTGGTCTAAATTTTATTCGTGTGTTATTCAATATCATGCGAATGGTACTAGACCAGTTGGTTTATTATTGTTACCAAATGTTTTTGGCGTAGTTCTGTTAAAAAAATCTTCATTTTCATTGTTAAGACCAATGGAAGCGTTAGAACATTTAATGCTTTGTAATGACAAGTCATACACCTCCCGTTTTAAAACAACGCCTATTTTATCGCAAGATGAGGACATATGTCAAGATTTAATTTCATTAATGGCAAGTTTAGTTATGTTGGAAGAACAATTATCCGAAGAGCTTAAAACTGGAATAGAAAAAGAATTGTACCATTTGAAAAGTCCTGATCTAATTATCGATGATATGCTATCAAAATTAATGTTGGAACCAGAAGATCCTGTAAGTATATTTGTATGTTTTATTATATTTAATATATTTCTCTTAATTATTTGTAACATTGTTTTTTATATTATTTTACCAGTTGTCTAACTATGATTTTCAATCAGAACTTTATCGTAAATTGGCAAACATAAAAGACATTTCTAGCGCAATGGCTATGTTGTTAGAAGCATTGACATATGACTTAGGACAACCAAATAAATTGCAATTGGAAAATAAAGGTCCAAATGCTTCGAAAATTTTATTAAATGTCAGTCATCTATTTGGAAGTCAATTGGGTATCTCAGCAATATCAGAAAGTATTGCTCAAATTACCCTTCTGAGATTTTCTATTTGTAGAAGCTTATTAATTTTACAACAATTTGTACAACTTCGACCTGAATTATTCGATTCAAGATCATTGCATTCAATTAAATCATCTTTAGCACCAAGAACAGTTGTACTTATGCAAGCATATTATGTTGTCATGTGGATATGCGAATGTACTGCTACGTATTCACCTACACAATCATTACTGTAAGTATAATAATAATTAAACAACTTTTGAACATAAATTCTTTTCTTAATTAAGAAATATTTTAGTGAATCTAGCTCTCAACGTTTATCAATATTATCTCTTGCGGATTCAAAAACAAATACTGGACAGAGACAACTTCGATCTTTGTCTCTATTAGAGTTATTTATAAGTAGTATTGGTGCGCAACATGCGCATACTTTAATGGTTAATGCAAATATGGATCCTTCTACTTTAATACCATGGCATTATGGCATGTTAACACATATTACTCTTATAGCACAACTTATGTATCCTTTTTATGTTCCTATTGTTTTTATATTATGTTTAATTTTTTGTTTTGTGTTTTTTAATAATTAATTGATCATGTTTTCTTAACTTGTTTGCTTAGATGGCCAATATCGGGAAATTTTATTTTTCCTGAATGGTTACTTTCTAGTTGTCAGTTTTTATTGGTTCAAGAATACGTTAGATTACTGAACACTTGGTGCGAATGGAACAGTGCATCTAGGAAATTTATATTAGCAATCGCTTTACTAGAAATGGGAGAGACTCAGAAAGCTTGCGATCATTTTTTAAGAGCTTCGGGAGGAATTTTAACGGATCCCTTCTTAGCCGATATTTTATTGAATTCTCTTGTAACTTCAGAAAATAATGCTTTAACTCAATACTATCTTAAAGTAATTAAGTTGTTTGAAGAACATAATGCAGCAGATTGCATAATTGAACTTACAGAAACAGCCATTTCAATAGCTGATAAAGATGATCATAATTTGCCAACTCTCCATTCTATATTATTTATACAACATCTTAAATTGGGTCATCACATTGAAGCTTATCACTGTTTAAATTCTAATCCTGATCCAGAACGAAAAGTTGATTGTTTGAGACAATTGATAATAACTTTATTTGAAAGAAAAAAATTAATTGATTTAGTATCATTCCCTTACGTTGATATGTACGAAGATTTAGAAAGAATAGTAGAAGGCAGAGCTAGAAGTGTTGATTTAATGGCAAATAATTATTATAATTTCTTATATAGTTTTCATGTAAATAAAGGGAATATGAGGAAAGGTAATTTTTACTTTATAATATATATATATATATATATACATACATTATGAAAAGATACGATTAGGTAATCCGATCGACGATGTTATACATTTAAAATATAAAATATGTTTATGTGTTATTTATATGTCATTCGTTAATTTACTAATATCAAATTATTTTTACAGCTGCATCTGTAATGTACGAACAATCAATGCGTTTAAGTCAAGAGTCTCATTCTGCTCCGATTATATTGAGACAAGCACAATGTTTATTAGCATGTATTAATGCTTTACATTTGGTGAGTGAAAAATACAGATGGATCGTCAGACCCGTAATCGAACAAAGCTTTTTGGAAGATACAAGTCCGCATAGGAAAAGAAATATAGAAGGTGAAGAGATTTTACATTATAAAATAAAAAAGCAGGTGGAAGTTTTGGAGTTGGCTGATATAAAGAAAGAATATTATATAGTTGATGCAAAATTGAAATTATCTAAAATGAAATCAGAAACGCATATCATTGCGCACGCAAGTAAGATTATAAATATTTTGTATTAATATAAAAAAATTGAATGTATAATTTTTATTATAAAAACAATTATCAAAAATTTCTAGGTCCATCCGAACTCGTTGTTATTTTATCGAGCATTGGATTATATACAACAGCATTACACTTATGCGATATGTTCAAACTATCTAAAAATTCAATATTCGAAAGTTTGACATCTCAATGCATAAGATTAAGTCAACACGAAGATCCAAAAGCTTGGGACTGGCTTGTACAAAATGATATCTTTGGTAAATACTAAATTAAATATAAATAATCGATACAATTATTACACACACACACACACACACACAGTTACATTTCTTTCTAATAATAATAATAATATTGTTCACAGATATGGATATAACTAACTCAAATATTATAAATACTACGTGGAGCTTGCTAAAGTATCTTTTGGAAAAACATGAAAAAGATAAAAGTACTGATCTTCATAAATCTATTTCTCGGAAATTACTTCAAGATGGAGCATTTTTACCAGAATGGTTATTAATGTCGTATAAGGTATTTATTATTATCTTTCTTTTTTTTTTATACTTAACGTGTCATGATAAAATAACATTAACAATAATTTACTTTTATTACAGAAAAGAAATACTGCCGAATTACTTAGACTGATGATAAATACAGGTCGTGTATTGGAAGCAAGTCAGCTGGCAGTAGATTATATTAACGCAGTTTTAGGTTGCGGAAAAGAATATTTTGGACTGGAAACTTCGTTATTGGCTACTGCTCCGCCAGTTTGGTTACCATTTAATACATTGGAAGTTCTATTATTTGAACTCAAACATGCAAGCGAGGAAGATCTACTTTATGTTGAGGTACATTCATTATTTTCAATTCTACAAATTTATTAATATGTAATTTAACTAAATCATCTTTTAAAAAATTACAGAGTTATCAAACGTTACAAGAAACGCTGGATAATTACATAAAAATCTTGAATCGTGTTTCAGAAGATATGATACGTATCAAAATGTTTAATAAATGTTAACAGTAAGTAATTTATTTCTTTTATATACATTTAAAATCATAATTTCATATATCAAAATTCAAATATTGTGTAACATTTTAAAAAGAACAGATTCAATATCGTTATTGTCCAAAATTTATAATTAATATCTCATTATATCAGTCTTTATTTCTACCAACAACAATAAAAATACTCGATAGTATATTTTCTTTTATAAAAAGCAACAAAAATGTATCAAGAGTACGTTGGTGGATGGTTAAGTGATATTAGCGTCACAAATACAAGAATAATTCCAAGAATTCCAGCAACTATTGCAGCAACAATATGTGGACATCTTTTGAATAGTACCTGTAATAAAAAATCCATTTATTTCATTAACAATCGTTAAGATAATTTAATATTAATTACTATATTAATAAAAAAAAAAAAAAAAGAAATTTTACCATTAATACAACTACTAGGGCAAGTATAAAAATTGAACCGAGCGGTAACAAAAAAGATGCTGTCCAATAGTGTCGCTGTATTTCAGCATCTGTAGGAGATATTAAAGTATATAGGAAAATAAAAATTAAAACATACTTATTATAAATATAAATAATAGTAATATGAATAATGAACAAGAACATAAGAAATAAGAAACCGTTGTAAACTTAAAAGTAAACATTGTGTATATATTCGTAAACAGATATATAAAATATATTTTACCATTACGCCAATGCGTTTTGTAGAAGTAATAAATGGGTACATCAGATCTTTTTGTAACATTGACATCTTTTGTTATTTCAGAAGAAAGAAAACCTTCATTATCCGCAGACTGTTTTTCATCAATAGTCCAGTTTCCTGTCATGTATATATTGTTAATATCAATGGCTTGTCGCTGATATTACACAATAGATATAATAAGAATTTATTAAAAAATTATTATTACATTTTCTAATCTCTTTGTATGTTTTTACCTTGTGACAGCAATAATACAATTTCTTTTATACGTATCATTAATATTGTTAATGAATAATTTAATCCATATTTTTAAAAAACTTAAGTTTTATAATAATAATAATTATTATAACTTAAAATACTTTTTAACATGCTATGTAAATATATATAAAAATGTAATCATATTTTTATAATCCAACATTACTTGTCAATATTAAAAATACATGTTTTTGAAACTATTTTAATTTAAAAGATTTGAATTTTGATATAATTCGCGCCAAAAAATGATAGCCAATTCTAGTCCAGAAGTACAAACGTCATTATTACGAATTTGATACAAATTTATTTTTTAATTTGTACGTTTAATATATAAATATAAAATATTAAAATTCGTTTTTGATAAATATTTAAAAATTTCAAGAAAAGTATTTTACCTAATAATAAATATATGTACTATTGATATTGCATAAAAATGATAAAAGAAAACAAAATCCAAGTTATTTATAAATATATTGATATACTACTGTAATCACTTTTCAAATTTCAATCGTTAATAATTAATAATTATAATGCATGAAAAAATGGTATATACCTTTATATATATGTACAAATATATAGATTACTATTTTAAATGATTTGACCGGGCAATTACAATGAAACTTTAATTGATCGTCATATTGGTATTCTTAATTTAAATGTATATTAATAATACATACCCAAAAACATCGTTCTATATAAAAATTAAAAAATGAAGATACTTTAACGATTTCTCTTAGTCACAATTGGTATTATTTAAATTTTCTCATCTTTATATTAATTATTCTTTCGTATATATACCAGATCCATTGTTCAGTATCCAATAATATGTACATACATGCTTTTAATTTTCCTATCTTCTTCTGAAGAAAAGATAAACAAGTTGGATGTTCGATAACTGTTCCAACATAAGAGATGGAAAAATAAGAGTAGGTATGTCGTATCTATACGATATGCATGTATCTACATATATGTGTATAGCATATATATACACAACAGTGTATTAATTGAACTGTGTACCAAAGTATTATTTGAAACGAAAATCTTGTAAACACCGACTTTAAGCTATTAATATATTTGATTCGGGATACTAAATATAAATATTATTTTCGAATGATTATAAATAATATAAATTATAGAATACGATAATTGTGTTTGTACGTGACAGGATAGATATATGTATGTATGTTCATCGATAGAAAATAGTAAGTTATCTTTGGTGAAATCTAACTACTCAAATTATCTTTTTATCTCGTTCAAATGATATTCTTTAAATGTCATACATAGCATAATAATATGGCGTCGATGATAAGAACCGGCTGATTTGTTGATGTTTTATACGTTTGATTGTGGTTCTCGAAGAAAAGGTGAAAATGATCAAAATCTCGGCACTTAACGAAGAATCTAGCGAGGAAAGCGAAGAGGAGGATGTGCCTACGATTACTAAAGAAGCTCAAGTAAATAATTTTTAATTGTTTATTTTAATTTACTTTAAAGTTAAACATAACCTTTAAATCATTTTTATCTTTCACAGATGCTACTTTTATTTTATAATTATCTTTATTTTATTTCTTTTAAAATGTATTCTCTTTCTCTCTAATTTGTAATTAAATTCTATTCTATTTATTTATTACTCATTATAAAGTGAAGAAAACTTTATCCAGCTTGTAACAATTAACCATCTGCCATGTGGATGTAATTTTTATATTTTGTATTGTACAAAACTATCATATTTTAATCGTTACCTTATATTTTATAATTTAAATTTGTATGATTATATTTTATTAGAAGAGCTTTATTTACAAGTAAACATATGTTATAAATGTTTATAACATATGTTTACTTGTAAATAATTAAATATACATACGTATAACCTTATATATTTAATTTGTTTCAGGAACAAATAGCACTTACCGAGTACAATAAAGCCTTAGAATTATTAAGAGATAATAAACATAAAGAAGCTTTGAATATTTTTAAGGAGCTTTTAGAAACAGAATTGCTGGATGAAGTTGAGAAACCTGAAGTATCCGATGGCAGATCAAGGCCTATGTTGTCATTAAAATATTCCTGTTACAAAAATATTGGAGCTATCGAAGCCATATGGGGAAATTATGGCGCTGCCATAGAAAATTATTGGGAGGCTGCTAATTTGGATGATTCCGATGTAATCTTATGGTACAGATTGGGTACCATGGCTATGAAAATTTCTAATTTAGAATTAGCATGTGCATCTTTTAAACAAGGACTGAAATGCAATTCAAATCATTGGCCATGTTTGGATAACATCATAACCGCCCTATACGCTGTTCCAGACTATATGAACTGTCTTTTATATATTTCTTTAGCATTAGAAAGGGATCCAAATTACATTAAAGGCTTAGCTTACAGAGAACAAATTTTCAAATCTATTCCGTGTTTAAAAGAATGTTATAAATTGTATAACAGTGACTGGAGATTAGATCCGCCGCTTTATACAGATTACAATCATATGATAGGGGAGGAATTATTGGTGGAAGCAGAAAAGGTTGCTCAAAAATGGGCGGAAGTGTGCAAATCAGAGTTTATTCCAAAATCTGTGCCAGAATTAACGTTAAGGAAACCTATAAATAATTATACGTGGCTCGACTTGGGAGAAAGTTTATTAGATATGCACAGGTTTATTGTAGAAAGTACTTCAAGCTTTGTAAGTCGAATTAAACTAATAGTTAATATGCCTAATGTCGAAGCTGTGGATAAAAATGATGAATGCGATGTTCAAGAAACTAATATGGATATGGAAATAGAAGAATTACAATCTCCAAATGTAAATGTGGCAAACGACATAGATAAGGATATGAAAATTGATAAAGAAGAAATTGTTAATCATGCATTCGAAGGATCAGAAATTAATGACGGATTAAACGATGTGTTGAATACAACGATAGATATGGAAATAGAAGAAGATAAAAAATCATGTTCAACGGATATACAAATAATAGAAGATGAAGATCCTTTAAGAATTTCAGATTTAGATGTTTTAAATGATGTGTTACAATTTGAAGAACCGAACCAAGCAAAAAGCACCGAATTAGATGAGCCTGTAATGTCTGAAACTGAAGGTAATAGTGAAAAACCTCAAATAGAAAAAGCAAAGATAGATCCATATAATACCGATAATGGAATAATTATGGAAAAGTCTAGCGATAGAGAAAGTGACAAGTCCAATGATAAGATCTATGACAAGGTTGCTGAAAATTCAGCAGAAGCTCCTAAGATAGATGAAAAGTCGAATGAAAAAACTGAAGGAAAGGATGAAGTTCAAAAGGTAAAAAAAAGACGTAGAAGTGCTTTGTGTTTCTTGCAGCAATGGGCTTGGAGTTGTAGCAGTATGAGACGATCGGCACGAGTACGTAGTTCAAATCGAAGAGAAGCTGAAAGAGACGACGTTCAATTAGAAGAAACACTTAGAAGAATATTTCCAAGCACGTTATTGTAAAGTCTTTATATATATTTTGTATACTATGCAAGAAACTAATGTTTTTTAAACTAACAATTTCTATTATTCCTTTTTAGGTCAGATACGGTGAAATTAACTAAAGATGATCATTCGAAAAGTATGGATGACACCATGGATACCATGGACGTATATCATTTATTTGTAAATCAAGAAAATAATACTGTCTCGGGAGAAGGAACTAAGAGTTCTGATAGTTCTAAATCACCAAGTCCCGATACAAGGTTAATCATTTATTCATTCATTACAAAGTAATAACACTTTATTAAAGATTATTTTCATATCTTCGCGTTAATTTATTATTTTAGCCAACAAATAAAATATTTTGGATCAGAATTAGAAAACGTCGATGTGAGTGCATTTATTAACGAATATAGTGGCAAGAACAATTTAATGGTGATCATAGCAAAATTTTGTGAATTCATATGTACAAAGTGGGCTCAAGAATGGCCGAAAAAATTATCGGATATATATTTAGAAGCTTATTTATGTACAAGGTATATAAATCTATGCTTTAATTGATGACAAGGGTTTATATACAACATTGAAATGATTATTTTGTCTTTTATAGACAACATATTCCGCATCCATCACCATTCGATGAAGATCTGGATGACAATATTCTAAAGTTGAATGCTGAAATGACATTATTATTTGGAGAACTTCATACAGATAAATGGTTAGATAATAAACCTGATCTGGTAGCATCATCAAGGTAAAAAAGTCATCTTTTATTGGTAATTTGTTTTTGTTTTTGGTTTTGCTAGCTTACATTGTAGTATTATAACAGTTTAGACAAACTGGGAACTGGTATGCCGTCAGAAGAATTAGGTTATATAATATTTACCAGCATTCGAGGAGATCTTTCAAATCAAGAAAACATTTACATTTTATTAAGAGTTCTATGGCTGAAAGCTACTATCTTTTTATGTCAAGGAGATACGGAAATTGTTATCGAAACATTAGAATTGGTAAGTAATTTAATACGTTAAATTTTACATTGACAGTCTAATATGTTAATAAAAGTACATGAAATTTTAATAAATATTATTAAATATTATAGCTGATGGATCAATTAAAAATATTGGGAAGTAAAAATCACAATATTTGCCTTATACTACCTAATTGTAAATGTAATTCCCAAATCAGTCTTAAAATAGTTGAGAAAAAACTAAAGTCCATACAAAGGTATTTGTTATATTACATTATTATACTTATGCAATTAGATTGGAAAATTTCGAATGTATTACCATAAAAATACTTTTATAACAGGAGTCAAAAACTTGGTGAGATACAACATTTATACGATGAAAAGAAATATGCAGAATTGTCTTGCGTTTTACAAGATACGTTCAAATTCGCAAGGCAAAAACATAAGTTATTGTCTGCCAATCAAAATATAATTGAAAGAGATAAACAATTAGCTATCTTATTGGATAGTTTATGGCAGCTTCAACATTATGAGGTTGTATTACTAAATAAATAATTTATTCAAATGTATCAATAATGTTTAAATATATTTGTTATCTAATTAACAATGATATTTTAGGATTGTTACGTATGGGCAGAAGCTTGTCTGAACGAATCATGGCAAAATTATTTGAATGCTTGCGAAGATGCAGAGCAAAAGAAATGGACACGTTCTGTCGTTAATTGTCTTGAAAAATTAGAAGCTTGTACAAAGGAAATAAGTGTGTTTGCTGGTAAGAAAATCTTTCAAGTATTTTTGTTTATTTTAAATATTTAAATATTAAACTATGGTAATTTATTATTTCAGTAAAATATTTACCAGAATCTTGCCTTTCAAGATTAGTGCAAAATTTAGTTCACATAGTATGTCATCAATTGGATATACCAGAAAATGCATTAGAGATGCCACTTGAAACCGTCTTACCTTGGATTTTATTACATTATATTTTACAATAGTAAGTTTTATCTTTAAAATATATTTTATATTATATTATTGATAAATTATTTTTTATTTTATAGCGAGGAAGATAAAGAGAGAGCAAAGTCTGAATCACCTTATAAAAACAAAGCACATAATTCACATAATTCAGAATCAGATGATGAAGATGATGGTATTCCACCTTCCATAATGATTCTATTTATTGCTCATGATTTTATTGGCAAACACTCGTGGTGTTGTTTTCATGATGCAAAGCTCTTATTCTTTACGATGAATCTAATAATACCCAAACTGGAAACTCCACAATTTACTACTATAAAAAACAAACTTACCAAATATTTAGAGCAAATTTTCTATTGTTTATATGGACACCCGAATAGATTAAATAAGTCAAAACCTAAACATCTTGAGGAGCACGGAGCACCTCAAATGGAATTAACATGGGAAGGAGCACAATTATTATTCGATTTTTATAAACCAAAACAAATGCCGATATTAGAATCACCTAGGCTCGCTGCTATAAGCGTAGATACTGAATTATTGTTTAAAAAGATAACTAGATTAGTTCCGCAAGACAGTGATCCGAACCAAATAATCGAAGAAATGAAAGACTATGTTATGGGTGAAAAAGAAAAAATGCCATGTGTCAAGAAACCGCTACCGCATTCTATATCTAGTATTTATTATCTATTAGGTGATTTCTATTTTAAAAATAACAAATGGACACTTGCTGCAAGGTATTACTTATTAGATTTATGTCTTCGTCCAACTGGATTAAATTCCTGGGCTGGTTTGGCCATGTCGACTGGAACTATAATAGATATTTGGCTAACCAATTATAGACTTATGTAAGTATTATTTTAATTATAATTACAATTACAATATGTACATACATTAACGAATTTATTTTTGATTTATTATTTAGAAGCGAGGATAAGTTATTAATGAAAGCCAAAATAGCTCAATCTAGTTATCGACATGCTACTGAATTAGCACCCAATCATGTAATAATCTGGACTGAATATGGAAGTTTCGTTTACATGATTCATTCGTTTTGTTCACGATTGTTGAAGCAAGAGACTGATACATTAAGTATGGAAAAATTTGAAGTATTAGAAAATAGAAAAGAGGAAATGTTAGAAATCGCAGAACAATGTTTTCAATCGTCTAATCGATTATTTATGGCATGTCATGGTATTGACAACATTAATAAAATTCAAGATGAAAGATGGTTGTGTCAATATATGCTTGGTAAAATAGCGGAAAAGAAAAATGAAGATCCCCCTATATTTCTAAGTTGTTATGCACAGGTCAGTTAACATATACTAATCAAATTTTATTATTTTCTATCTTTCGTTTTTTTTTTTTAACATTTTCAATATATATTTTTACTTAATTTTAGGCTAGTAAATTACTATATGAAAATAATGCAGAGTATCCTCGTAGAATTAGTCATAAAAATCCTCAATATCTTTCTATTGAGGCATTAGAAGTGCATTATCGAATTCATGCGAGTATACTTAAATATCTTGAACAACATGAAGGTAAACCTTTAAAAAAATCATTAGGCCAATTGTTTCAATGGCATCTTAAAAATTGTTCCGAAGGATCTTTTATGAAGTTTCAATCAAAACTATGCGAAAAGAAGAAGGAAAATGATTCGGATGCCGATACAAAAGCTACTGTCGGAAAAGATCTTGACAATTTATCAGAAACTTATAAAAATGTTGCCTGTGTTAATCAACGTTCCTACAGTATCGAAGAAATTGAAATTATAGATAGAAACACTCAAGATAAAAACCTTGATGGCAATCGAACTAGTGAAATATTAAAATCGGAAAACCGTAAAAGATCTTTGGATAATCAATCCAATGATAATACAAAGCGATTAAAATTGGGAAATATTTCTCATCTTCAATTGATGCAGGATGTTGTAGCTTTGATAGATGATTTAATTACAAAAGTCTGTGACATGGTGTTGCAAAAGGAAAAGGTAACAGATGATATTATGGTGTTATCGAGCGATGAAAGTAATGAAACTAGGTATCAAAAGAAAAAAGGAGAGTCAATGAAGAATATCGACATTAATAAAATGCAATCAAAAGAGGAGAAAAATAAGAAAAATATATTAGACGTGTCTAAAACAAACATATTTGATTCTTGTAAAAAAAATGAAAACGTGCAAGATTTAATGGATGCTCTTATGAAACAAGCAATGGAAATGAGCCAGGAAACGCAGCAATCTTCGTTTGATGACGACGATACAAGGAAGTTTGAAGGCAAATGGCTGCAAAATGAAGATTTACAAACTACTGTAAGTTATTATCATTAAATTATTATGATTAATTATAATTAAATTCTTATTTATTTTGTTGTGTAGGATAAGGAAACAAAAGATAAAGCAGGAGATAAAAAGAGAATGCATATATCTGCTCCTAAGCAAGAAGCTACTTTAAGTAGAAGAGGTTCTCAAGAAAGTACTACAACAACGCAAACAACAACAACTACAGAAACGAATAATTCTAGTTCGAGTAGTAGTGATGAATCTAGTAGTAGTGAAGACAGTTCTGAAAGTGATAGTTCTAGTGACAGTGATAGTGATTCCGTTGAAAGTGATATCGAGAAGAAAAAGAGAGACAATGATATCACAGAGAAAGGTAAAATTATTTAAAATAAATCTTGTATAAAAAATATTTATTAATTTCTTAATAACGTCATACTTTTTTTAATTCAAATTACAGAAGAATACATGACTGATGAAGAAGTAGCAACTTTAATCGCATATTGCCTGGCAGGATTGGAACAGTGCATATTAAGGTTTAATGAACATCATAAATCTTTTTATCGACTTGCTCATTTTTTCTTTAACAATAGAACAGCTAAAGATACTACTAAATGTAAAGATATATTATTGGGTACATACAATTGTCAATTTTATCCTGGACAAAGCTTTCAAGGACTTTTTGCAGATAGGAAGAGTACCAACTTCTTTAGTGTAAGTTTATTTATATTATCACTTATTTAACATATAGTACGTAGAAAAATATTATTAAATATTTTATTATATATTTAATTATTTAAAATAATGTAATAATTCACGTTGGAACATCGATATATCGTATTCCTGAATTATTTTGGTATTCTTTAATCTACCAGTAGATTCTATATAATCCACAAGAATAGAACCACGAGCTGTACCATCGACTACAGGATATACATTTTTTAAAGTTGATTTTATTATAAAACCAGGCCATATCACAGCAGCCATAGCAATTGCATCTGTCGGACACCAATTACTCATAGACTGTAGGGCAATTCTTTCTGCTTTGTTGAAAAAATCTACCGTAGTAGAATTTAATTTTCCAAAAACATTCTTACGCCAATTCTTTAAAAAGTATTATAAAAATAATTAGTTTTGAAATAATGTTATATAGTTTAAATTCATAGAATGTAAAGTTCCTACCAATGATATTTCATGATTGACGCATACTTCCCAAGGAAGAAGTACAGCTGGTGTTCTTGTAGTAGAATTTATTGCTATAAAATTACTTTCTGGATCATTGAAAAAATTAAATTCTACGTTGGGCATAAAATTACCAACTCCTGTTGCACTTCCACCCATTATGAATATATTTCTAACGTAATCTTGCAAATTTGGTTCCATAATAATAGCTGTAGCTAAATTAGTTAAAGGGCCTAAACATATAATAGTAATTTCATCTGAAAACAAAAGAAAACAAAAATCAATTTTTAAATTCATTCAAATTAAAAATAAACGGGTAACCATCTTCTATTCGATTTTATACTCTTTTAAAATGAATTTACCTGGATATTGCTTTACCATATCTATTATCGCCATAGATGCATGCTTTGTTCTGTTTATTTTACCTGTAATATTCTTGTCAAATTGAAAATCTCCTAAACCATCTTTACCAAAATAATTTGTTGTAGTATAATTATACATTAGAGATTTTTTACTTCCGCTATAAACAGGTATCTAAAAAAAATAAGTTAATATTAAATTATTTACTTCAATCATAAGTATTTTTAAAGTTTTAACCCCTTGCACTGTAACAATGTGTGAGATTTAATAAGTATGAAATATAGCACCAACTTTAGCATTAATTAAACTTCACGTGTTAAATCATAGTGCAAGGAGTTAATAACTAAGTAATACTTACGTCGCTTCTATTAGCTATTTCTAAAATTTTGAGAACATTTATTTCTACATTTTCTAAATACGTATTACCATATGTACATGTTATTGCTAAAACTTTAAAGTCCCCGTTACTAGATTTTTCATGTGCAAGTGCTAATAATATTGCTAGTGCATCATCGCTACCTGGATCCGTATCTATTATAACACTATTACGTGCAGCAACATATCTTCACATAACATTTATTTATTGTTAAATACAAAATGATGTTATTTAATTAAATAATATTTAAATTCATTTAAGTATATGATAATAGTTATTACCTAACGTCAAATGACAATTTGAAGTATAGAATTATAATAAAGGTTATGTAACAGATTTTCATGATTAAACTTGAACAACACCTAAAATAAAATATATTCTAGATTAATGATCAATTAAAACTAAATTTCACATTGATATTTTCTATATTTTATGATTTATTACATTGTATATAATTTATACATATATATATATTATATTATATATATGTATATGTATTTATAGATCACTTTTTTATTACACTGTTTGTATGTATTGTTTTATTGTTATTTACAAATACTTATAAATTGTATGTATTGTATTTTGTAGGGTATATGGCATATACCAAATCGTGAAATTGACAGACCAGGAAGTTTTGCATCTCATATGTCAAGATGTGTAACATTACTGATGCAAGTATTAAAAGAAACAAATGATAGTCGAATGTTAATGCAATTGTGTATTCAGCTTGCGAAGATACCTGATTCTGACAAGTAAGATTTATCTTAATATAAAATTGTAAATATGAAGATATTACTATACGTTTATCTAATTGATTTAAGTGATTCTCGTTTCTTTAAAATGATTGGAGAAAAATAAATGTTATAATAATATGTAAACATTATAAAAAGATATTATATGATTGTAATTTATTTAGGAAATACTTACGCGATTCTGAAAGAGAGCAATTATCTCGTCAAGCGTTAACTCTTTGTTTACAATCTTTAAGAAGTAGAGTACACACAATGGGTTCACCCAGTACAATGGACAGTGTACATCTCATAAGAACTGATTCAAGAACTCAAGTTTTATTGGATGTATATAAAATATATCAACAAGTTCAAAAACACTTTCAAACCAAGGAACCCACTGTACAAGCATTCTCTTCACTATTAATCGACACATATAAAATCTACATTGGCAATAAAGTAAGAAATAAAATAGTATTTTTATAGATAAGATGAAGTATCAAATGATAAGAAGCTTGTTATCAAAAGTCATAAACACTTGTATATTATATATATATATATATATATATATATGATAATTTTTTATTAAAATCTTATTATTTTTTAGAATTTAGATGGTAATATTTTGGAAATGGCTATTAAATGTTGTCAACGACAGATATTAGCTAATAAAATAGCTGCAACAAGTAATCCTGGAAATAATACTTTACCAACTTCGACTGCATCTGCGACTCCAGTAATTTTTATCATTTTTATATTGATTAATTATATTATAATTGTTCGCGAGAGAAATAACATTTATATATTACTATTATTATTATTTTTACAGGCTACTACATCTCAAACACAAGTTAATTCAACGTCACCTCAAGCATCTCAAAATCGTAAACCTTACAAGAATTTAACGTCGACAGGTAGACCAAGAGGAAGGCCACCCAATGTTAATAAATATTTACAAGCGATGCAACAAGGTGATAATATAAATCAATTTAATTCTAAGAATATTTTTACAAATTATATAGCTGCACCAGAAAATCATGCACTCATGAATCCCTATTTTATGAATCCACTAGTAGATCCAAATGTGTTATCAGCAATGATTGCTAGTTTGAGCAGTAACATGATGGCTCCCTTGCCAGGGATAAACTATTTAAATCGAATAGGAAATTACCAGGAGTATATTAATAGACAATATCAAAGGAATCTTTCGTCATTATCTAATCTAACAAACAGTTTAAACAGTACTACTGCTACTGTACCCAGTAGCATTAGTAACATACAAACAATGAGTACATCCAGTTCAAGCACAACTACACCCAGTAGTAGTATAAATAATCTCACTAATATTAACACATTAACAGTACAGCAATTATTAAATTTGACAAATTCTACCGTTCAAAATACACGATCACCACCAACGTATCATCAAGCAACAACGACTAAAACTGTTACAACTATGTCAATGACTAAAGATAGGCCGAACATATCTATTACTCCAGTAAGTACAGCATTGCCACAGAAGAGCAAACCTAGTAGGCCAACTACGCAAACTGATGCATTACCTGTTAATATTCCAAAGTCTCTTCAAATTTCACAAACTTCTAAAACTTCTCATCCTTCTACAGCACAGGTTTCGCTTCTTAAGCCATCTATTATTCAACAAGTTAAAACAAGTCCACCAAAACAAATGACTGCCCCTCAAATTCGTGTTTCAAAATCATTAACCGAACCTCAACCTGCTCATAATCCTTCATTATCACATGCACCTTTGAAAAGTAGCAATCAATCGAATTCAAACGTAGTACCACAAGTAGCACACGCATCGATTAGTCAATCTTTAAATTTAAAGCCATCATTGCCAATGAATTTACCTACATCTCGATCAGGTACTTCATTGCAACATAAATTATTATCGAAAAAAAATTCTCAGAGATCGTATCCTACATATACGCAAAGTTCTATAAGAAAACAAAAGCCGAGTAATAAAAGTGTACCAATTATGTCGAGTAATTTTTCCAACATGGTAAATAGTATGACAGGAAATTCATCATTAGGACAAACATCTTTTATACCTGCTGAATTAAGTGGTATATCAGTAAGTCCGGTAACACAAGCAGGAATAAAACCATCAAGCGTTAAAACCACTAATTACAAGAGACCCCCAACAAAACCCAAATCTGGTATAATGGATGTACCAAACCCATTATCAAGTTCATTTCCGCAAGCAACATCTGTGGAAGCACTTTCTATGTTGTCTCAATTACAACAACATTCACATTTAGAAATAATACCTCAACAAAAAAATCCTCAGATAAAAGCAAACGTAGATTTTACAAAAAATCTCTCTTCGTCGGTTAGTGTTGTTCCACAAAAGAAACTTGTTTCTGAACCATTGAGGCAGCCGAATTCCGATTGTATGACGTTATATGATTTGCCAAGAGGAAAGTCTGCTAAACCAGTCGATAAATCTGCAAATGATAGTGTAGAGATCATTACGTTAGATGATTAAAATAATTATAATATTCTCGATGGCTTTATCATAATGTAATAAATTTTTCCATTCGTCTTTTGTTATCTATGTAAATGTTACATAAATTATATAATTAAGTAAAAGTAATTAGCACAACTCTATCGGAATAAGAGTCTATTTGATCTATTTAATAAAAAATTAATTTACTTTTTAATCCTTCGTTAATAAAGCAAAAATTATATATTATGCAATCAAATAAATGATTGTTATGTAAAGACTGAATTATTGTAATAAATTACATAATAATACCATTTTCAAGATAATCAAGATTATTAGATTGAGATCCACGAATTATTTTCTAATCTTATAAGTCATTAAAATGCTATAATATTTACAAGGATACAAAAAAATCTTTACAGAATGTATAATTGAACATTTATTTTGGGTTGTTAACGAAGGATTTAAGAGTATGTGATAAACCTCTATGAATAAATATATTTATAAAATTCATATCTTTTTTTTTTAATTAATTGTTTATTTTAATACAAATGTATATACCATAGAGATATCATCTAAAAATGTATTATTAAAAAGAATTCATGCGCATTTGTTAAAAATTCATACTTATGTCAGTATTTTGTATGTGAACTATACTTTTGAAATTTATACGCTTATGTGTGATTTTATGTATATGAATA